TTATGAACAAGTATATACGGTAGTTTAAAAATAAAAAAAAAAAAAGAGAGAGTCAGGGCTATGAAACTGCACTGAGATTTTAAACAAGAATTTAGTTGTTTCCAACAGCAATTTCTACTCTGCGCACATATGTATTTCATTTTTTTTTTTTTCAAAAAAAATAACCGTATTCAAAAGACAGGAACTGCATTTTTCCCTTGTGACTAGACATTCATAGGGAAACAAAATGTGAGCTATCTATTCAGGTAGTAAAGTTATGCATCCACTAGGGGGGTAGAGTTAGGGTTCCAACCGCAGCTATAACTAATGCTACCCTCATCTTCATTTTGGATTAAGACTTCAGAGCTTTAATATTCTCAAAGATGTACACTGAATACATAAATTTGTGCAGTCATTTTTTGAAATTTGAGTCATCTCCTTAGCTCAAACTTACCGTATGCTGTTCCTGGGCCAAACTCATTCCCTGCATCAATCATATACTGGCCTAGTAGTTCTGGGTTATTCATACGACTTGGTGCTTTGCGGTCCAGCTTCTCGTAGACAAATTCTTCTATTCTAGCATCTAAAAAAAGTGTTATTTGCTAATTTGAAGTGCAATTACTGTAAATCAAAGAGTATTTAAAAAAATGTTCACTCATAGAAAAGCAACTTACTAATTCATTCACAGAATATCAAAGTATTAGGTAATTGAGGAAATCGGATAAAGTGATTGTCACCAATCGTGATATGTTAGTCTAAATATCCATCTGCTCTGTTTACAAGTATTTCTAGTATTATCCATGAAAATTCAATATAGGCTCGTGTAATAAAGCTAATTCATACCTTCTTACACATCACCAGTATTAGAGGTTGTGCAGGCCACATTATCCCCCAGTAACACTTGAGCCACATTGTCATTGAATTGTCATTAAATGCAGTTGCAGTTTCGACTGATTTCATCTGTAAGCTAGCGTAGACATAGCCTAGCACTTTATAACTTATGTTGCTCAGGGGTGTGAAAAAAACAACACCCCTGAGTGACATAAATTACACCAACAGAAGCACTGGTGTGGACAGCACTATGTTGGTGGGAGATGCTCTCCTGCAGACATAGCTATTGCCGCTTGTTGGGGGTGGTTTAATTATATCGATGGGAGAGCTCTCTCCCATCAGCATAGAGCTACTACATGGGAGATCTTACAGCGGCGCATCTGCATAAGTACAGCTGTGCCGGTGTAAGCTCTCTAAGGTAGACATGGCCTCAGTAAGCAGTTCTGAATTCACCAGGAACAGAACACAGCCTTCTTACCTATAGCCACACTGATGTCTGTTTCCAAGAATACTTAGTAAAAACTCTGCCTCTAGAGTCAGTAGTAGATATGACTACAGGTAGGGAGTAAATATGTTGAGTATGAAGGACTTTTTTTTTTTTTTTTTTTTTTTTTTTTTAAAAAAAGAGACACGAAGTCTAGAAGCCACACAAGTTATGCTCTCTTCAGCTTTCATTTCTTTAATATTTCAATCTCTTTAATGTGCTAGAGATCAGTTTGACACTGAGCCTTGGATGTGAATACACCTCAAACTTTGACTTGGCTAGCGTCACGATCTGAGTTTTGTAACTTTGGCCCATTTCTAATTTCATAAAAGAGCACTTATGCTTACCACTGAAACGGTCATGCACTTGTCATACATCTGCCACAAGTTTCTGGTGAGCTAGATTAGCATTTTGGGGTAAGGACTATTGTATAGCACCAAGTACACTTTCTCTACATTAGTGGTTGCTTGTACCCTTTAACTGTAGCATAAACAAATCCGTTCACCCTGTTTACATATCCATTAATACTACTTAGAATCCAGCATCCTTCTATAGCAGAGCTTTTAGTTCCATTACTCATAGGAAAAAATGGCTGTGCTTGGATGGTGGAGAGAAGATATAAATGTCTTAAAGGTACCAAATAAAGCATTTATGCAGAAAGCATTAAAATAACTTAATCTACTGTTTTAGAGAAAGGCAGATTAAGCTGAAGAGGGATAGCTAATATGAACTGAGTATTTTCAGATTAGATCAAAACTGAATACAATTCAGAGAGCTGAAAATAAGGTTTTGCCAGCATAATTGAGATATTGCCATCCATTCATTGTTTACACCCAGCCTGCAGTTAATGACTCAGATTTCTCTTTAAACGTTTAGTGAGACATTTTATAGGCTGTTTACTTTACTTTTTTCTATTTTAAAATCAGAAACCCAAATTATGTAAGTGTTTAACTTTATTTCCTGTATTATTTCAGGACAGAGGCTCAAAGCACTGTAATTGTATTATTTACAGTCTGAGTGAACCAGAGAGTTTAGATTTTAAGTGGTTAGACACATGTTTCAGGCCCTTAAGTTTGCTGATCAAGAGAGATCAGATACTGCATTGGAACCTAGACTTGAATCCTAGACTTAAAGTCAAGCCAGCCTCCCATAGCACTCCTGCCAAATACATGGCCCAACTGAGCTCAGAAGGGGAACCTGAAGCTGTTGCCTCCAGCATTACTGCTTCTCTGCTCCTAGCAGCAGTTCCAAGGACAAGGGAAAGAGACCAGCCCGTGGAATAAGGGCCCCACATTCCGTCCGTCAGCATTAGAGTGAGGTTAACCACTGGTGAAGGAGTTATGTGAGACTTGTCTCATTTCCAAGCATTGTGAATGCACAGCTCCTCCAGCAACTCAATAGAAGGGGAAGTAAGGAAGTGTTGCTTACTTTTAGGAGTAGGGGAACATTAGTTCCAGCTACCAACTGTGATCAATGTGACTTGTTGCCAAATACACTCAAACCCTCCCCTACATATCTGAATCCCTACCATTTCAAAGGGGGGGGGGGGGGGGAGGGGAAGAGGAAGAAAGAGGGGAGAGAAGAGGGCGAAAGGGGAGGGAAAGTTACTCAGCTTGGGCAGTCACATCTTTTCCAATACCATTAGTTTATCAGCCGTTCATCTACAGAGGTCAAATTCCCTGCAACCATCCTATAGCTGTAGGAAGCAAAGAACTTAACCCTCTGCAGCATCTACTTCTCCTCTTCCCCAAAGAAGAGAATGGAGCTAGCATTTTTGTTATAGGCCATTCTATTCATGTGGTTTCATAGAATTTGGCTTTTAATTATATTTTTATTCAAGGCCTGTGTGTCCAGCTGCTGCAGAATTTACTCTGGAATCCACCTCTTGCAACAAGTGTGCTCCATTTCAGCACCATTCACTTAAGAGAATTGTATCTATTTTTCGGGACGTCAGGAAAACTTTGAAGATGTGAAGCAAGCTTAAGTTGGAGGTCTGAGTATATAAACAGCTTGAAACAATAGCTCTGAGAGGCATGAACTGATACACTCACCTCAACAGGTGAAGACCGAAACCCGAAGATGACAGTTTGCATCAATATTGTCAACTATTTCACTGCTGCTCATTTTAGTAGACGTATGCAGCTAATGTGCTTGTTCCACAAACCTAAACTGCCTTACTCCCTCCTGGATACCATGAGCCCCACTCACCTCTTTATGCAGCTGCCAAAACACTCAGCTTTACCTTTGATTTGTATTAAAGCATAGTTGCTTTCTAGAACCTAACTGGCATATCAAACTAAGTGTGGAACACCATAAAATTGATTTTTTTATCGGAACAGTACCAGTTGTAACACTTAATTTCATGCTGAATTAATCAAAAACACCCATCTTTTAATTGAAGAGAATCTTACAGGATTTCCAGTTTGCCACACCAGAATGTCACAGAATCCAGGTATCTTGCAACAGAGTTTAGGTCCAGCTTCCCATGGAATACTGTGAAGATGTGGACAGCCTACAATTTATGATTTCTAGTAGGTACTATGAAGTTGTGAAAACTGCTGTATCACTGAATATCTCTTTGTAAAAATGGAATCCACCATGGGCGGACAGTGCTTGTGTACCCACCAAGCTAGGGAAAATGGAAAGCAGTTACCCTTAGTAACTGTACTTTGACCACACAATGGGTATGTTGAGGTTGGCTGAAGTTGGGGAAAACTAGTTCTCCAAACTCCTCAACAGCGAGCTGGGATTTGGAACAGCTGAACAGAAACCAACGTGGCGACACTAACCTTTGAAACCTCTGAGGCATTGTGGGTCGGGGAAGACTCTCAGCCACACAGGAAGTTTTGGGCAGGAGAAGGGAAAAGATTGGGATGTTTTTGTAGCAGGGAGCCCTGGTACAGCTGCAGGACCAACCAAGGTTAAAGTGCTCCACCATTAGGAAAACAAGCCATGCACTGCAGGAGGAATATGGAAACCCACAGATAACTCTGACCCTAGCCCAAAGAATGCTCTGGAGTGGTGAGCCAGGGAAATGCATGCAAGCTGTATTTTTGTACAGATCTGGGTACTTCTCATGCAATTAAAGAGAGTAAAGTCTGGGTTATGCCTATCACACTGAAGAGTTAACCCAAGCGTATAGAACAGTTTCCAGATGAACAGAGACTTTGACACAGCTTTTCTATTACTTTAAGATCAGCAGTTGCAGACTAAATCATAAAGTTGAAAAAAAATCAAGGGGTTCTTGTTATAATTGTACATGGTACTGTGCATTAAGATGGAACCTTAAGCAGGGTGGATAAAAATCAACTTTTTAAATAAAAAAGAAATTTGATTTGTTTAATGCACTCCCTTAAAAAAAAAAAGTGTAGGTTGCCATAATTTCAAATATATTAAGGCCTAAACTCAGTATAATCTATTACAATTATTTAAATGAAATAAAAATATTGAGGCAGTATACCACTTCTGCTGTGAAATTTTTGGAGTCACTGAACTGGTGGAAGTCACTGGCTGAGCACCTGGAACCAGAGTCTGTTAAAGTGCTAAACCAGCTTTTGATGGCAGTAGCCACTTTTGTAGGTGCAGAGAGAATATTTTCTTTTCAATTTATTCAATTAGTTCAATTCAATGCCTAGTTAATTCAGAGTTGAGAAGCCAACTGAAAATTGAAAAGAAAAAAAAAGCAGGAAAGTTTTTCTTCTCTCCAATCTCTAAATAAAAACGAGGTGTGTGCAGATGAGATCTAGTAGTACTGAAATTCTGAAGAACAGTGACCATACACAATCAGGTCAATAGAATAACTACGGATAATACTTACTTTGTTTGTTTGTTAGGCCAGTGTCAAATGAAAACAGGTTTGATAAACTTTGTCCAGCACATTTAAGATGTTTTTTGTTACATAAAACGGTTTTAAAATTGGTTTGTGCATTTTTAATTGAATTCCAATTTGTATCCAAATATAGCTCAATGTAAATGAGTAAAAGTTAGTCTAGCAAATTAAGGCATTAGTCAATTTTAACTTAAAAATGTAAATGTTAAGATTATGAATAAATGTATGCAAAGCTATATAGTTGCTTAAATGTTTCTAGATATTGTTTTCTCTGGTTAGGAAAAAGCACCAAATTTAGCGTAAAGGCTATATTTAATTGAAAAAAAAAAATCAATGTTTTAATCGTTACCAACCAATGAGAATCAACCTGTCTTTAGGAAAATAACTGAAGAGTACAAATTTAAAGTAAAGTATTTAAATCAAGGTTTCCTGCTTGATGATTAAATGATGATTTAACAAACAAAAAAAGAAAAACTGTGGTTTACATCAACCCACCCCAAAAGACATTAAAAACAGTTTATACATTTTAATACATGTTAGTTAATGAGAATCATATGACCCACTAATAAAAAAAAATCTAAAAGAGGAAATGAAGATTATAATCAGTTGAAACTATAGGGGGAATTCAGATAGAATGTAACTCAAGAAAATCATTCAAGTAGAAATTGGCCAGGATATTAGGTTTACAACTTGGAGTAAAGCCAATAGTTTGCAATGAAAAGCTTAGTTGATGAATTTAGCCTTATTCTGTGAGCAGATTTGAATATATTCACTTTAAGGATTTACTGCCAATATTTGACGTTTGAGCTCTGTTGCTTGTGTGTGACTTATCAGCTAAGGATGATGATCTTGTTTATTTTCCAACTGAATAAGAACACAAGCACTTTTGGTTTCCACAAATAAATAAGAAAACTTGAAGTTTTGTGAACATTTCCCCAGTAAACCACCACTCAAATATTTGTGAAAAACAAACCAGAAGGGCAATTAGCATGGCCAGAACAGATTTGTTACAAAACTCAGAAGTATGCTGGCATTGTTCACCAAGGTCTAATCAAAACTCTTTTTTGTAAAGAGTCACTAAAGGTAACATGACAAGTGATCAGAACCCCAGTTCCTATTCTCAAAGAAAAATATCAAGCAGCATCATGCCCCTAATACAATGGTGGAGAAGCAACACAATACAGACTGAGGGAAAAGTGACACCTATTAAATAATCAACGTATCTTCCCTAGCATTTTGTTTTCCTTTGGGCTAGGAGGAATTCTCTCATCTTAGTACTGATGAAGACAGACCCTGCATAGCTTAAATAGGCTCGGATCCTGTCAGATCTCAAGATGCTTTGAGACAACCCACACGCAATCGTTGTTCTGTTATAGATTCCAGTTGCCGTTTTATGCAGTCAAGTCTTTGCATTGGAATTAAGATTTGCATTTGTTGCATTGTATCAAAAAAGCATTGTACATCTTGTACATGTAAGACGTTTTAAACAGGAACAATGAACTGCAGTGTGTATAAACATGCAGCAGTGACTCTGCCAAATACACACACACAAATAGACAAGCTTGTTAGCACTAAAGTATCGATGAAAAACCCAACATGTTTCTTACTTGGGTTTGGCTGCAATAAAACTTCTGTCTGTTTCATAATTTTTTCTGTCCACAGTTTAGTACATTCTGCTTTGCTGAGGAGATTCTCCAAGTGAGCATCCAGTTCAGTCTTCTCTGCTTGACCAAGTTTTTCTTCGGTAAACTATTGGTTAAAGAGAGCTAGATTAGCAATACTAGTCTGGTCAGCACAAACAGCCACGTGTAATGTTAGCCTTTATCTAATTAGATTTTATTTTATGTATAAGCTTTTTGAAGACTGACACTTTACTCAGTCTTCAGCAACTAAGCCCTACTAATGTCACCGAAAAATAGTTTTAAATGAAATGAAGATACCTTTGAAAGCTAGCAAATGTGCATTTGAATTTGCAAGTTCATAGTTTGAGATTTCAAATTCTTACTGAAATAAATTAAAACATACTATTCATTTCAACTGGTGTTTAAGTCACCATAATAAGATTTTAGTTTTAACATGGGGAAATTTCGTGCTCATAAAAGAGCACACAGCATCTTTGTCTGGATCCAGAGACAGGTATGCTTTCCCAAACAGCTTTATTATTACACCTCAGTCCTCACTTACAAACCCGGTGCCCATCACAAGCAGATATTTAAGTCTAGGCAACCAACAGCCATTTTAGTCTTCCAGTTAAAGAAAATTGCACACTAGTGGTCTGGGTCTTGTTCTAACCCCTGAACTAATTTAGTGTTTTCACCTCCATCTCCAATGTTAGAATATGTACTCATCTGACAACCCCGTTCAGGTTGGGCATTTTCAGGGAAGGAAACGTGGCTAGGCAATTAAATCCCTAGCAAGTTTACAATTTAACATAACCAGACTAAAAGTACAGTAACTCCTCACTTAAAGTTGTCCTGGTTAACGTTGTTTCGTTGCTGATCAATTAGGGAACATGCTCGTTTAAAGTTGTGCAATGCTCCCTTCTAACGTTGTTTGGCAGCCACTTGCTTTGTCCACTGCTTGCAGGAAGAGCAGCCCATTGCAGCTAGCTGGTGGGGGCTTGGAACCAGGGTGGACCGGCAGCCCCCCCATCAGCTCCCCGCTCTCCTAAGTTCCCTGTGCTGCAGCCGCCCAGCAGGCTATCAACGGGTTATCAATCGGCAGTTCAGCTGTCCCTCCCCCCACTGCCATGTGCTGCTCCTGCCCTCTGCCTTGGAGCTGCTCCCAGAGACTCCTGCTTGCTGTGAGGGAGGGAGGGGCCGCAGGGGGGGGGGGGGCTAATGTCAGGGTGTCCCCCTCCCCCCTGCTCCTGCACCCCGCTCACCTCTTCTCCATATAGAGCAGGGAGGGGACACGGAGGGAGAGAGACAGAGAGAGCTTGGGGCAGCAGCTGCTGCCTCAACTTCCTGATCCACATAAAAAGACAATGCACTTAAGAGTGGGTCAGCTTACTTAAAGGGGCAGTGTGCATCTCTCTCTCTCCCCCACACACAAGGTTTGGGTCTGTCTTTGTCTGCTATGCTGTCTCTACTCCCTCCTGTTTGTGCTGCCTTGATGAGAGGCTACATTAACAACGCGTTAACCCTTGAGGGCTCAGCCCAGTGCTAGTTCATCATTTAGCAGCAAGGCATTCCCTGGAAAATAGCCCTCCCTCTTCCACTTTCTAACTTCACCATCTCAACCAAGCTTCACAATCATCATAGCTGTGAACAGTATTAAATTGTTTGTTTAAAGTGTATACTATGTGTATATCTATATAATATATAGCTTTTTGTCTGGTGAAAAAAATTTTCCTGGAACCTAACCCCCCTCCACCCCTGATTTACATTAATTCTTATGGGGAAATTGGATTCGCCTAACATAGTTTCGCTTAAAGTCGCATTTTTCAGGAACATAACTACAATGTTAAGCAAGGAGTTACTGTATTCTGACCAGGGCCGGCTCTAGAATTTTTGCCGCCCAAGGCAAAAACAATTTTGGCCGCCCCACCCCTCCCAGGTTTGAGAGCCTGGGAGGGAGGGGGAGACTCCGAGCGGCCGCAGCGCTCTCAAGCCTGGGAGGGAGGGGGAGCAGCGGCGTGCGAAACAGCTGTTTCGCGCGCCGCGGCCGCTCGGGATCTCCCCCTCCCTCCCAGGCAGCAACAGCGGAGGTGAGCTAGGGCGGCCCGCGGCACATTTTTAGGGGCGGCATTCTGGCGCCGGCCATGCCGCCCCTAAAAATGTGCCGCCCCAAGCACCAGCTTGTTTGGCTGGTGCCTAGAGCCGGCCCTGATTCTGACTGCAAAGCTTCATTTGTAGTAACCTCAACAATCTCTGCAGTAAGCTGTACATGATAACCAAAAGCAAAACTAACTGGAAAAGGAATCTGATTGAACAATCTTGTTTCTCTTTCCATTATGCAGAGTGAAAAAAGGTAACTTGGTAGTGCCTCCTTTTCAAGACTGGACATATGTTCAGCTTCCCTGGGGTTCCACATCAATGCAAGGAGCTGCACAAACATTGTCTGTGGTCTTATTTTATAGGAATATTAATATTGTTCTGCTTTCTAATGTTTATAAAAATAATTTAAAAACTGCTACATTGCTTTATGTTTGCTAAAATTAATGTTTGATTAAATGAAGTTTGATTAAACCATGTTTTCCACAACAGAAATAAAGTAAGGCGGATAGCAAAAGAATAAGGAGTTAATAGGAAGAGTAACAGCATGCACTGTTCCCTTTTAATCGTGAAAATTGGAATATAGATGGAGACCCCAAATTTGCCAATCAAGACAGTTCCTTATTGAATCAGTTCAAAAACAGATCCTCATCCATCAAGCAGATGGAAGTTTATAAAAACATTAAGGTTTGGCTTATAAAACATGTAGCTCTTGGTTATGAACTAAGGCCAAATCTACAAACTGTTGCCAGCATAGCTATGTAGGTCAGGGGTGTGATTTGTGACCAACATACCTGTGCTGGCAAAGCAGTCCTAGTATGGAAACTGCTTTTGCTGGTAGAGTTTATTAGCCTAGATTAGCTATACCATCAAAAGTACAGTTTATACTGACCGTAGTATCTGGATGAGACTGGTGCAGAGCTAACTGGCTAAAACTAATCTAAATAAGGTTGAGGTGAAATTACCTGGCTGGAAGAAGCAACCCAAAGAGACTGCAAGAATATTGGCTTGTTTAACTGAGTGTGCATCTCCACCATTTGTTTGTCAGATTCACAACACAGGGGTCCGTTTAGACTCTCAGCTGATACCAGAAGATGTGGCTTGCTCAGCTTTTATTATTTACATAAAGCTAGGAGGCTGCAACCATTCATTTTGTATGCGAACCTCACAACTATCATCCCTGCCTTTGTCACCTCAAGATAAAACTACTCCAATGCATTCTGTGGGGCAACATTTTAAAAGTTTCCAGAAACTGAGGCTAGTGAAGAATGCAGCTGCCCGCTCGGTAGTTGGGATGTCTTGCCACGATTCTCAGTGGCTGTCTGTGGGTTTCCAATTTACAATATTGGTTTTGGCCAATAAAGTCCAGAACGGCAGAGAACCAATGGGAGAGAGTGCCATACCACAGAGCATCAAAACCGCTCAAGATTAAGTGCCCACTAGCATAAGAAAGAAGACATTGCTGGCTAGGCGTTCTCCATGAGGGACACTTCCCTTTCCCTGATCTGTAAGAACCCAAATATCTGAAGGGCATCCTGCAAAGTCAACCTGCCACCATCACAGCAGCATCTGAGAGAGGGGAACTTAAAATGTGTGGAATTGCTGGAGCAAGGATATTTGAGTTTCTAATTGCTGCCTGGTGGGTGCTGTACATTAGTTATGTTTAGCTGTCCATTTTGCTGTATTTTTAATTATGGTCAAGGGTGCATAGAACATATGGATATATTAGTGTTTTAAACAAATGCAATACTTCCATGTTTTAAATAATTAAACTCAGTTTCTTTTTCATCATTTGTGTTTACTTTTTCATCATACTCAGAAACTGGAATAAGATTGGTTAGTTTCTCTTTCTAGTTCATAACCTTTAGTGTAAAGAACTTCAGGGTACAGAAACTGAAGTTTTATAGACATTAAGACATTTCTAGTTCTGTTGTGTTCTTAGATTGAAAGCTCCTGAGGTAGGGAAATGCCTTTACAAGCACCATAACTTGTGGGATGACTAAGTGACATTCACCACAGTTTACTTTTTAGGGTTAACTAATTTCAATAAGTTACACTGTCATTTTTGATACAGCATCCTCTAAGTCATTCGTCTTACAAATGAAGAACTTTTCTGTTGTCCTAATGATGCCTGTATGAGCCTTCCAAGTAACAGAGAAGCTGATTTTACTATTCACCCTGCATTTACACAAAGTGGTTTCAAGTACAGTTTCAATTGAGAGAAAAGACTTAAGTACATTATTTTTGAATGTTATTTGCAATGTAGTAACAACATTTTTAGACAGAAATGATTGTCGTATTGATGTTCCCCAAAGTCAATGCCATACTACTGCCACTCTAGTTCTCCCCAAAGTGGCGAAAGCTACCTTAAACTCTAAATTGGAAATGGCTTTGTTTCATATCCTCTTCACGATTTATGTATTTAATATTCAAAACTGAAAAGGTAAAGGAGGCAGTGTCCTGCACCCTGAATATTTGCCTTAAACTTTTAAGGGATAGCTAGCACATGGCTGCTCCAAAAAAGGCAGATGCTGTTACATTTTAATAAAAGATAAGATTTTTGTAGAGCTCTGTTCAGAGTAGAAAATTAGACTGCTTTCTAGGACACAGTAACATATGATTCAATATGGCAATGCCTACCAGTGCGGGATCTAGTCCAGTAGCCTATTAAACCTAATAACAAAAGCAGCTTGTTTTTAATAGAGACAATTTATTTAAGGGAAAAAGGCCCCAGGAGGAGGGGAAGACTGATCCATTCTTGCCTGGCTTTTGATAGAGAGCATATTAATTGTGGGAGCTGGTTGGGAGAAAGGTCTCCGGAATCTTCCCCACCGTTGCTGTTCAGGTTAGTTTGAGATTCCATTTTCCCCAAAGACCAGGGACATCTAGACACCTTCCTTCTTGCTCCATGAATGACAATCAAGATGAGGATCAGAAAGAACTCTTCCACCCCACAAAAACTTCCTTTTGTTCCCAGAAAGCAGAACAAGGGTTATGACAGCTAGGAAGCTTCACTTCTATGAAGTTGTCCCT